AACCTTACCTCGATACTTCACTATTTTGCAATTTGATTTGCCAGGTCTTTGATTATCCAAGCGTTAAGCCCACATTGTCAGCGTTAGGTTCTATTCACACTATACTGCTACATTGTCAGTTCTCGGTGAGCCAAAGTAATTCGCTTAAGAAATTATAGATTCATACATATTAGAATAGAGTATTCAAATACCATGTTAATTGATTTTCGAAAAATTTAAAAGTGCTTTAAACAAAACACATAGTTTCTTTAATAATAATCCTAAATGTTTCATATTAAAGGTCATTTGACTTAATAGCTATGACTAAAACATTAGTCCGATATTGTTTATAAATAGGGCTTTAATTTCGGTTTCCCATTTCCTGGAATATGTCTAAATTTTATTAATTTCTTAATTCATTGCTTGTCACCAGTTTGGGTTAAGAAAATAAGGTAAGATATATATATATATATATATATATATATATATATATATATATTGAATACCTTCAAATTAAATTTAAAACTAACAAAGTAATACTTTGATCGATATTTGAGCACCACACTATGTAATCGAGCAACAAAAGCACGGTTCATGTAGTGCCCGTCTACTGAATCGCTTATTCGTTTATGCATTGAGTTGTGTCCTATCGTGTCAACTTATAAAAAAATCCAAAAAGAGTATGCTTTTATTAATAAATAGAGTGAAGAATTAAATAGGTTCAAATATCCTATAATTATATTAATTTCATATAAAATAAATGTTAAATTTATATGTTTTGAAGGTAAATATGGTGGATGCAATGGAGCCGGATCCCGCACGACGAATCCGTGGAATGCTTAGAGGTTTCGTCTCTATATAATGCAATTGGTGTTTTAAAATGGTCTCAATCCTTTAATTTTGTTCAAAGACGATGGATTTTTTATTTTGCAAGTGACTGAATAATTCAATCACTCAAGAAAAACTTCCTAATTCAATATAAAGAAAAAATCTACGTTAATCGGCCATAACTCTTGTTGCTAAATTATAATAAAAATACATGAATACGTTTTATTTTGTTATAAAAATAAAACTGAATAGGGGATAAGATTTTGCGCCTAAAATATAACATTTGTCCTAGATTTAAATGATTAATGACAGCAATAAGCCTCGGAATAACAAGGACATTTTTTGTAAAAAAAATCTCTAAGATTTATTTGTTTTTAAGTAATTTTTTGCTACAATATTTAATTTGGTGTCTACTTTTTGCTTTTAAATTCGATGGTTTATTTAACACTTTCATCATTTATATGTTTTAATTTATGATATTATGTTAAACTTTATACTCAATAGAGTTCCACGTCAATATTTAATTGTGATTCATAGTTCACATTTCATGAACATGCAACAAATCGTCTTTGTAAAAATCTCAATACTTTCGGAAACGCATAATTTTTCATGTTAAAGATTAATTTTAATATTTGATAATCATCTATTACCTTAATATACAACTTTACTTTAGTAAGTTGCAGTATGTTTCTATTTACTATTTGAACAATTTAACATGTGATGTAATTTGTGGTGATGATAAAACAACGCTATATAAATTGTATTAAACTTAAACTGATATTACCATCACATTTCTGAATATCGTTAAAATTAAGTGGCTTCCTAATTATAACCCCAGGCATGTTGTTTCTTTCATGTATATGATATTAACATGCCTTCGATTCGAGGTAGAGGTGTCGAGTGTATCAAGAATCTCAAAACTCCTTATTACATCGCTACCCTTCATAAATTAATTCAGCTTTATTAGCATTTTTATGACATTTATAATAAAATCTGAGGAAATTTTGTAAATATATATACACATATATTAATTCTATCGCAAGTCTTTTTTCTCTTATCCTTCTTAACTCTATTTAACTATGACGCAATCTGTTATGATCCAACTTGTGATTTTAATAAAATACCTAAAAATTTGGATGCTTGAATTAGAAATATCTACATTATATTTTAATCAAAAATTAATTAAAAATATTCTACATGATCAAGCGCCTGACATAACAGCTCTTGTTAGGGCCTGCCACTGAGACTCACACAATATCAGCCAGAACATATTATATGATCAGCTGTGAGTAAATTTTTTTCGTATTCAGAAAGACCAAAATATAATATTCATATTTTAAACATCGCCTAATCTCTTATGTTATCTCTCAAGTAATATAATCTATTTGTTTATTTATTTGATACTTAAATCCTTATTTTATTTTGTTTTTAAATATCATTTCAATAATCTGCTCTATATTCGTAAAAATTGTTTGCTCTTACCATTTTATGCACTTTATGTATTAATATTATTATTAAAATGAAAGTCAAAAGTTTTTTCCCGTAATTTAAAAAAAAATCATTAAGCTGTTTTTATATTGAATAATTTCTTATTAAATTGAATATGATTTTTTAGCATAGCAGTAAAGTAAATTTACATATGGTGAATATTTCTTTCTAATATGGGGGCGACAAATGACGATAGGTGGATGAATGTATGGATGATGGATTTGTATGAAACAAATGTTTGTAAATAAAATGAAAAATTCATATAAGTCAGAATGTTTGAGTGGCCGGTTGGGTATATATATATGGATAGTATATAGTATAGGCAGACCCTCGATAAAGCTGGGAAATTGCCAGAAAGAAGAAGAGTATATAGTATATATGCAATGCATACCATTTATTATAAAAAAATATATTATTCAGTATATAGAAGATTTTATTTCATCGCCTCACTTAGGTAATACAAATCTTTAACATAATTTCCTAAAGTGTGGTATAAGCTAAATTACTAGTAGAAGTTTGTATTTTGTCATAGTTAAACATAATGAGCTCTGAGTTGAATTTACTAAAAGTCGGCATTTTACACATTGTAATCCTGACCACTAACTTTGAATGTGGTTTTAAAATATTAAAGTAAATTAACTGTTTAATTTGATCTTCTACACGAAATTAGATAAAATAAGGCAGCAGTTTAATTATAAATCTGATTCAATGTTTTTACTTTGGATATAAAAAACATATCTGGTTACAAAATAAAATACTATAAACAATACTCTTAGTTAAAAAACGTACGGATCACAGTGTGTATACTTCAATTTTAACAAAGTATAGAATTGCTATACATATCACGTACATACTCTAAGATACGACGGAGTATTGAATTTTGGTCACGTAAAATCTTTGTATTTTCTCTATTCCATGTCTTCTTCAGTTAGGGTGCCCTCGCTAAAGAATTTAATTAAATTTCAAATAAATTACACAAATTGGCGCCTTACTGTATTTGGTGCCTTATTTAATTTGCTTCAAATTATTATCGTCTCAGCTATTAAATATTTGATTACTGATTTAATGGTACAAAATATTTGGTCTTATTTTCGGTCCAAATAATTAACCGAATGGATGTTTTCGTTGATATTATTTAACAACAATACTCATTAGGAGCGTTATTTATAATATAATATTACTAGCTGACCCGGCAGACTTCGTACTGCCTCAATCAAGAAATAAATTATTTCTTAATTATATTTTTGGAGTTTACCTTTAAAGCTTAAGCCATAAATCTTCGTCTTCTAAAGTGCGACAGAATGATTGACATATTAGTTAGTTGTCAAATCTAATGTCAAAAAACCCGTTTGTATGGGAAATAGAAAAGCGCTGTTTTTAGGGTTTTCCCGGAAATTAATTTTTTTTTCAGCTTTTATACCTTTCCTGAACCTCCACGAACATTTCAAGAGTAAGATATGATAAATCCGTTCAGCCGTTCTGGAGTTTTAGCTAAGGAACAGCAATCCATTTATATATATATACATATATATATAGAAGATAATCTAGATTATAGAAATATGATTGTTGATTGAAAGATGTATATTTTTCTTTATATGAGCATATATTTTTTGGTATTACCGACATATAGGTATGACCCGTGAAAAGCGACACATAAATTAAAATGTAGTAATTATATATGTATAGTAAAAATATATTTTAGTTAAATACTCGTATCATAAATAACTAATTCTTACGTTCCATGTATTAGTGAGACGATTCTGAAATGAAAAACTCTGAAATACCATATATATATATATATATATATATATATATATATATATATACAGGGTGACTGGTGAATTACTATCGATACTTGAGGACGTGATATTTGACGACCATATATGACAAAATAAAAATTAATATAACATAAATATTAATAAACTTCTAAGTAAAGTTAAAAGTTATGTAATTAATTACGCATTGTGTGAACACCCTACAGATTAGGTATACACACACACTCACACATACGCGTGCGGTGGCGTAGTGTTGTATCAGCACGCCGCCGGACGCGTCAACACTTGGAACACTTGGAACGTGTCAACACTTTATTTATTTATACGGAAATTTTGTCAAAAATTAAGTGCCTATTTTTTTTACATAATTCGAATGAGAATCATGTACCGAGTATGCTCCTTAAATATTGATAGTATGCTCCTTAAATATATACGCCTATGATATTTTTCTACTTATTCAGAAAAGGAAAGTACAACAAAAATTTACAGAAGCCAAAAGCATTACACCTTGAATACATCTGTTCATTTGATTAAAGTAGAAAAGAAAATTCTTGACCAATTTCATATAAATAAATAAAAAATATTAATTTTATATATTAAGTAATATGTATATATATATATTATGGCTTCATTTAACCAACATTTTTTCTTAATAATCAAATGTCACGCATAGATGTTGCATCCACAAAGGTCAGCCAGTAAATACATTTATTATCCAGAGTTTCTATATTCTTAGTAAATTCTTGTACAAGTTTTTCTCGTTCGTGTTAAAGAAATTTATATGAGAATCGTGTTATATTTTTGTACCTACATATATTAAAGATTCATAACCGGAACTGGATTCAAATATTGGATACTGGATACTGGATTGTGTAATGCTGAGTAGACGCTGCGAGGGTTAGGCCCTGTTTGTTTTTAGATAGAAGCGAGTTGGACGATCAGTTGGACGATCAGTTGGTCGACCAGTTGGACGATCAGTTGGTCGATCAGTTGGTCGATCAGTTGGTCGACCAGTTGGACGATCAGTTGGTCGATCAGTTGGTCGATCAGTTGGTCGACCAGTTGGTCGACCAGTTGGACGATCAGTTGGTCGATCAGTTGGTCGACCAGTTGGACGATCAGTTGGTCGACCAGTTGGACGATCAGTTGGACAATCAGTTGGTCGATCAGTTGGTCGATCAGTTGGTCGATCAGTTGGTCGATCAGTTGGTCGATCAGTTGGTCGATCAGTTGGTCGATCAGTTGGTCGATCAGTTGGTCGATCAGTTGGACGATCAGTAGGTCAATCAGTTGGTCGATCAGTTGGACGATTGAATGAAAATCTTATAATACTGCGATCTCTTTGAAATTCAATGAATTAATTTGCCGACTAGTAACCGAAACGTCGGGATCATCCCTACTAATTTTATAAGCAAAAGTAACTCTGTCTGTCTGTTACGCTTTCACGCCTAAACCACTGAACTGATTTTAATGAAATTTGATACAGAGATAGAGTTGACCTTGAGAAAGAACGTAGGAAATTTTTCATCCTAGACTTTTGAAAGGTTCTCTTGGAAACACGATGTAACCGAATACACGCGGGCGAAGCTGCGGGCGGAAAATCTTAGATCTCATAAAAATAAGAATCTTAGATATCATTACTTATTCAATCTTCAACGAACGTAGATCAGCATTATGCTTACCACAAGCTACACGGTACTGCATACGTATCGTTTCACGTTTCTCATTCAATACTACGTTAATACTATATAGATGCGTTAACACTATATATCGCGCGTTAGATAGGGTCCCTTAAACCTACACCTGGGTCACAAGTCACAGTCACTGTTGAAGCTCCTCTCACTACAACGGTGGACCCGACACACGCACCGTGAATACATGGAATGATGAGAGGATTCGTCTTTTTTATGCTAAAGGGAGTAACCGAACAGACGGTCTACTTGATGGAAGATAGTACCGTCGCCCATAGACATCCGCAACATAGTTTTGTGAATCAAAAACCAAAACTTAACAGTCAAATATATTGATATTACTTAAAATATTATATAAGAAAGGAAAATACCCAAATTTTATTAATCTCTGATCAAGTTATAAAAATAATAAATTATTAACAGACTTCAAGATAACATGTATATATAAATGAATACTCGCGAAAGTTTTAAGTCTCATTAGGATGTACATAGATTATTATTTATTAAATTGTCTCTTACTATAAAAGTGTGGTGACCTTATGTACCAAAATCACTGAATTCATTTTAATGAAATTTTAAGGTAATATAGATCATAAATTAGAAAAACATTTGGTATATATTATATGGAAAACTTCAGCCAATTTCCAGTAGAAACAAACCATAAGAGTTGTGTTGAGTGTGAAGTCACGGGACACACTATATATGTCGCCGGCGGTTGGGTCACATATATTACATAATATATATATACTAATAAACCCGGCGAACTCCGTTTCGCCACCAGAAGGCTTTTCTATAACACTTCGTTTGGTGATTAAAAGATGAAGAATCTTTTTTGTTTCATATTGAAAAGGAAAATTTTTATTTCATTTCACAACAGTAATGAATTCATTTTGATTACAAAAATGAAGTGTTATTTAGTTGAACATCTCTAAGTAAATGAAAGTGAATCCAAAGTAGATACCGAATCGAAGCGTTAAACGTGTCCGCAAAGTATCCGTTTCATTGAAGTGCTCCTTTGTAAACCACATTTTTTGTTTTTTGGTCTAACTTTAACACAAATAAAGTGTATGGTTTCCAAACTTATGAACCCGCAAAATATAACTGCTCATGTGAAAAACAATGATTTTCTAAATTTATCGCGTAAATACTAAATGGTTTTAAGAGTTCAAACTACAGACACAATACCGGTTTGTCACATGAAATTAACTGAGAAGAGAACAATGAGTGGCTGTCAAACAATGTATCATGCGACGGCACCATCTATGTACTTAAAAATACTTAATATTGATTTGTAGTACATGTTATGTATGATGGCGCTGTATGTGACAAAAGATTTTTCCCCCTTTTCTTGGTTCTTTCGTTCTGAAGTTATAGCGTCAGGATGGAAAACCGGACTTATTTTTATATAGTAGATTTCTTACAAATATAAAATTCTCATCATTACATTACATATCTGTCATTATACGTCAATTGCATATCTGTCAATTGTGTTTCGTTATTCCACGTTTTATAGTGACTGACGTTTCATGTCAAGTCCCACGGGAATGCTGTCGAACGGGATAAAAAGTATCCTATTGCAATTTCCTGGTTTTAAACTACTTCCCTGCCAATTTTCAGCGAAATCGGTTCAGCCGTTCTTGGGTTATAAGTGGAGTCACTAACACGACTTTCTTTTATATATGTATATAGATTTATATACATATATATATATATTATAAACTATAAAAGAAGTTACTTTCAATTTATTTTATAAATATAAATTATATTCTCATATTAAATCATATTTGGTGTAATTAAAAAACTTTCAGCGTAACTCTCATTTATTGATTTTCAATTGCTTTAATTACTGCAAAACTATTTTTAGAAATGATTAAGCCACTATATACGTATATCAAAATCTTTGTTACCGTAGTCGTTTTTTGTCTAGTACCCAATAAGTTTCCATTCATTCCATGCATTCCGTAAGAATAGAAGAAATATACAGGTATAATTGTTGTGTTATCCGTTATAACAATTTGTCTTTAACAAACAGAAAATTTAAATCATAGGCTATCTACAATTTCTCTCGGATAGATTTAAATGTGCCTCTTACATTTGCTTGTTTGTTATTAGGAGTAAGAAAATTTTAAGGCACTGAAGATTCAACTGTATCCCTACTTCCCTACTAATATTATAAATGCGAAAGTAACTCTGTCTGTCTGTCTGTCTGTCTGTCTGCTACGCTTTCACGCCTAAACCACTGAACTGATTTTAATGAAATTCGGTACAGAGATAGAGTTGACCTTGAGAAAGAACATAGGATAGTTTTTATCCCAGACTTTTGAAAGGTTCTCTTGGAAACGCGATATAACCGAACTCCACGCGGCGAAGCTGCGGGCGGAAAGCTAGTACATTGATAAAAATCTACTAGATCCACTTAAGCATTTTTTTCTCAGAATGTACTGATAATAAATTCCATATTGACTACAGTCTAACAACACTGTACACTCCACATCGATTACAATCGGTTAGGTCCGATATAAATAGTGGTTTTTAGCTGACAGTTTGCGAGGAGATAATTAATTCATCGTCTTTTGCACTGAATAATGAATGAGGGCCTTTTGAAATAAAAAGTGCAAGTTTTAGACTTTTTTATTATCTATAAATATAGTAAAATTATAGAGGGGCAATTTCTATACAGTGAAAAAAAGGGAAAAACTGGTTTTGGAGGACATAGGAAGTAAAATAGAACTAATTTAGATTTTTTGTCATTTATCTGTTTGTTTGTTTGTTTGTTTGTCTGTTTCTACGGGTTAATCTCAGAAACAACTGTTCTTTTGAACTCTGTTAATTATGATCTTCCCTGGGGTGATTAAAAATGTAACTAATTATACAAATAGCTATACTAAAACTTATAAACTTAATTTAGTATATTTAGTCTGCTCAATGTGTTTTATGAAATCTATTAATCGCATAAAATGACAAGTTCCAGAAAAAAGTATACCTTTAAAAATATAGGGTCTAGCAGCCTCTGTTAGACACTTTTTTTATTTTAAGCCCCTCTCACGACGGTGTAAAATGAAATTTTATAGTTTTACTCACGACCTACAATTCAAATACTTGTCATCCAAAAAAAATCGTGTTATTTAATAGTTTCTGATTAACAATTCATTCAGATGACGAACTTATCGCGTCTGTTTATGGTGGCCAAAGGTGAATAACAAATCGTGAATATTCATGGCTTTATGAAAAAAAACTTTGTTTGTGCAAAATGCTCAAGCCACAAGAATCAACTTCGAGTTGCTTGCCAATATCGAGGGGATAAATCATACGAAAAATTTGGTGTCTTTCTCACTCAGTTATGGAATTTAAGACCCCCAAAATCTCAAAAGTAACTTTTAGCAACGTAACAATACATATATTAGACGCTGAGATTATTACAGGGTGTGGTAGCACTGAGAGAGAATTTTTATCCCGAACTTTATTGAATCCAAACATATTTTCCAAATCCTTTCAGTTTTAAAACGTGTATAGTTCCTCGTTAGTTTGTGTTATGTAATAAAGATAAACAAAACTCAAAGCCGAACGCTATTTGATGCGGACGTGGACCTCAGCTCAAGTTGTTTCTTGCACGACTCTATTATACATTCTCCCATAAAAGTCACCCAATTAAACTATTTGTCCATATTTCCAATCAGTTTATGTCGAATATCATCCATAAAAGCATTTTAAGGCATATACCATAAAGTTTTGATTAAAGAAATAATAAATACAACGCAGACGTAGTCGCGGACATCTAGAAATGAATAAACCAATAAATAATTCAATCTAAATGTATGAAACAGCTATTCTAAATTAAAACCATTAAAACTTATATCACCAAAATTAATATGAGATATTTTTAATGACTCTCGAATCATACTTAAAATTAAGTATATTGCATCATGTTTATTTTATTTTCAATATGCATTCTTTCAGTTGTTATCTAATTGTGGATACTACCGCTTTTTAAGATATAAAACAGGTTACTTCCCAGAAAATATATTGCTATCAACATCTTTATAGCATGTTGCTCTAATAATTTCTACTAGATACAATTTCCTTTATTCAACTAAATATTTAAGCAATTATGCCACATAAATGAAAAAACTTACATTATTTTGGAATAAATTACCCAAGGTCAAAAACAATTTTTTAAACGGAGCGCAAAAAATCAAAATTAATTCAATTTTTGTATAAGAAACGGTAAACGCGAAAAATATTTAAAACATCTAAGACCTTTACCATTATTAGGTGTTTTCACGCTCAACGAAACTTTGTAATAAGCTTCACGAGTTGGAAATTTTTGAACAAATTGTTTTCGGCGCAACAAAGTATCGACATTAAATATAAGAGAAAGTTATAAACACCGTCTGTGTTTATCAAACTTTAGACTAGCTCTTTACCGTAACTTTGACAGCTTTCCTAATGAGGCAGAAAAACGATATACATATATCTGAATCATTACATGTACATATTTTATTATGTAGGTTGAGGACCGGGTATTGTGGCGTGAATTGGGAGAGGCATATGTCCAGCAGTGGACCAAGATTGGCTAAACTATAATTTTTT